CATTTCCAGGAACCGTTTGGATTCAAATCATGCTGCAAACTGACTTCAGAGAGGATCTCTGTAAAAAACCTATTGAACCAAATTGACTCACAGGTGGAGGAAGTAGATCAGTTTCTAGTCCAAACGTCAGTTCCCCATATAAACTGATACACAGCTATCATGACTGGTAGCAATTGATAGCCTTGTCCTCCAAGAATTTGCCTAATCCTCTTTAAAGTTGCTATCACTGCCTCTTGTGGGATCAAGTTCCATAATTCCATAGGTCACAGTCTTCTTCACTAACCTGAGATGATACAACTTTTGTGTCTCCTTCCCTTTCACCGATGTGTAAGTGGCCTCCATAGAAGTATGAAAGCAGGGTTGGTAGAATACACTTTGTGTTTGAAAATGAATAATAGAAATATGCTGGCCTACATAGAAAACACCATTTCCCATCTCATTTCAACAATCTAGGGCAATCTCAAACCACTTTTTCTTTCCCTTATACAATTTCAGCATGTGTAAAGAATTAGTTATGTCATCATGATAGAATTGATTTGAGATTGCAGCAGAGAGCTAGAAATGCTTAGCATCAAAATGTGGACTCAAAATCCAGAGGTTTGTTCAGAGCTTTTCTATTAAATTAGAAGTTGTTCCCTATGTTACATTGAGTTGCATTTTATTGACCACATTCTAAATATTTCTGATTTGCTTTTGTAACTTAAAAAAAATCTACAGTAAAGCCATCCATCAATAGGAGCAGCAAAATATCAGTTGCCTAAAAGCCTGGCTTGCAGAAGTTCCTAAATATAAGCCAAGATAGGCTAAACCAGATTTCTTTAGGTGAATGGGGCCACAACCAAACAGTCCCTGCCTTGAATCTTAGCAATAACAGCAAGTCAAGGAACAATCAAAGATAGCTGTTCAGAACTGGAAGAAAGATTGTCCCAAGCCAAGAGCTGTGGCCTTGGTAACAGTAAAACTACCATTTGTTTCAATACAGATGGCATATGGGAAGGATACATTTGGTCAAAGTATTATCCATAAATCCAGCTTTTTCTGTCATTCATTGGTCCATTTCTCAGGAACACGAATATGAGCCCATTTTACAGTATGTTTCCACTGAAGTCACTACACTACATCAGTCAAAAGGTGTAGAATTGCCATGTTCACAGGCAGCACACCACTGACTTCCCCAAATGCTTGCTTGGGTTGCTTGTGCAATCATTCAGTTAATTAATTAAATGTATTTATAACCTGCCTTTCTCCAAAGTTGGGACTCAGCTGTTGCCATACTATATTCAATCCAAAAGGTTGTTTGCAGCTTTTCTCATGCATTTCTCCTGGTGCACAGTATTTAGGGGGATGAATTTGAACCTAATACAATGGTACCTTGGTTCTCGAACGTAATCCATTCTGGAAGTCTGTCCAACTGCCGAAACGATAGAAAACCAAGGCGCAGCTACCAATTGGCACAGGCACCCCAGAAACAATAGCCGACAGCCACATCGGATGTTCGATTTCCAAAAAAAGTTCGAAACACTTCTGGGTTTTTGGTGTTCAGGAGCCAAAATGTTTGAATACCAAGGCATTCAAGAACCAAGGTTTCACTGTATAGTAAAAAGTTGGGACATCTGCTCTAGGGGAGGAATTCAATGCCATGCTCTTCTGCTCATTCTGTCAGAGCAAGCATTTCAGTTTGTCGGATAAAACAATCCTCGTTCTCCTCTCCCCCACATGCTATTTGATGTGTTATCCCGACCCTCCAGGGTGGATTTGGGTGAGGCGGGGGAAGGGGGTACACATTATGCTTGTGGGAGTCCTTGCACTGGATTCCACTAGTGTGCCAGATTTGTTGAATTGGTGTTCCTTTTTTTTTTTTAAAGGAATTCTTATTGGATCCATTTAAAACTGTAATGTAAGTGGTCAGATGACAGCTCATTTAGATTTGTAGCTCTCACACAGGGAGAAAGTCTATAAAATGATTTTTGGATCTTTGCAGGCCACATGATTCATAAGCTTGTGAACTTAGTGCAAATGACACTAAGAATGAACTCCTTCCATTCATTTAAAATTGGAACTTTTGTCATCATAAGATAGGAATGGAAGAATAGTCTATTCCAAGACATGACTGACCCCTCTTGACCTGTATGAAGGAAGAACCTTGAATGAATGTTCATGATCTGAAAGTTACCATAGGGTAAGAACAAAAAAATAGTTATAAGCATTTGTTTTTACCAAAAAATAAAATAAAATAGAAACTTGTCCTATGAGCATTCCCTTAGAGGTATTTTCAGTAAGTAAAGGTAAAGGTACCCCTGCCCGTACGGGCCAGTCGTGTCCGACTCTAGGGTTGTGCGCTCATCTCACTTAAGAGGCCGGGAGCCAGCGCTGTCCGAAGACACTTCCGGGTCACATGGCCAGTGTGACGAAGCTGCTCTGGCAAGCCAGCACCAGCACAGCACACGGAAACGCCATTTACCTTCCCGCTATTAAGCGGTACCTATTTATCTACTTGCACTTAGGGGTGCTTTTGAACTGCTAGGTAGGCAGGAGCTGGGACCGAAAGACGGGAGCTCACCCCACCGCGGGGATTCGAACCGCCGACCATGCGATCAGCAAGTCCTATGCACTGAGGTTTTACCCACAGTGCCACCCGCGTCCCTTTTCAGTAGTGCTCAGCAATTTCCTTATCCTGGTACTTGTCAGTTAAGAAGTGATACACTGATTTTCTAATACTTACAAAATGCAGGGCTCAGGTACATGCTAGGTTTTTGTTTTTGTTGTTTAAACGTTTTCTGGTTGAAATCCACAAAACAGTTACCTGGGCATAAGTCTCATTGAACTCAGCAAGGCTTACTTCTGAACAGACATGTGTAGAATTATAAATTAGCTTTCTTTCCTCCCCATTCTGAACACAGAACTTCCCTGTTCAGAATACTTCAAGACCATCTACAACACATGAGCAACCATTTTAGAAAACTGAATTTCCTTGTGGAATACAGTTGGCCTTTCCAGTCATTGTCGGACTCCAACTCCCATCAGCCCCATCTGGAGGACCACAGGTTCTGCGTTACAGAACAAGGCTTGGCTCACTTGCCTGAGCCAAGAAATGCACTCTGTGGGAATTTGCCAGGATGGTGTTTAGCAGTTTGCTCCTGAATTCCCTTGTACTGGATTATGTGGGGAAACATTACAGAGGATTGCTTACAGGTACATCAGGGTTCAATCCTAACCCCACTTACATGAAAGTAAGCCCCACTGAACTCAGTGGGACTTACTTTTCAGTATACATTATTAGGATTGTGCTGTTGGCTTCTGAGATCTTTTAGTCTTTCCCTCTCTCCTAGTTTAGTGAGATACTTCCTTGTCACAGCTGTCTGGTAGGGGGAAGCATAAGGAGCCATCTGTCTGTCTATGCCATTGAGGACTGTACAAAAACAGGACAGCAGCATCTGTCTTAAGGGACCAACGGCAACTGTCACAACTTGGGCCAAAGGCCCCTACAGGCAGGGAAAGACAAGAGATTATAAGCATATTGCATGCTCCCTTAAACTGCTTTCTCCATATGCTTCTGCTGCTGGCCTGTTAGAACTACCTGTGATTCATACAGCAGGACAGGGACAGGTTTAATTTGGATTGAATCAAGTGCATTATCTCATATCTCCTACATTATCCACCTGCACCCCTTCACATGTCATTGCACTGAGAGCCAGTGTGGTGTAGTGGTTAAGAGCGGTAGTCTCGTTATCTGGGGAACCGGGTTCGCGTCTCCGCTCCTCCACTTGCAGCTGCTGGGTGACCTTGGACCAGTCACACTTCTTTGAAGTCTCTCAGCCCCACTCACCTCACAGAGTGTTTGTTGTGGGGGAGGAAGGGAAAGGAGAATGTTAGCCGCTTTGAGACTCCTGAAGGGGAGTGAAAGGCGGGATATCAAATCCAAACTCTTCTCTTCTTCTTCTACCAGTCTATTGTTCAGCTTAAACCTCTCTTTTCTAACCCACAAGAAATTAATATGATGAACTGAAAAATGTAATTGTTTGAAGTGTAATTGGTCTGAACTAATGACTTCAATCTGTCATATGTAACTTCTGTGCTGATGCTGCCGACAACAGTCTTGGCAGCCCTGCATTTAATAGCATATTGCAGAAATAAAAGATGGTCAATGAGGGTTTGCAAAGCTCTTTTACCACTAACATGCCGGAAGCTGGAAAGGAATGGCAATTATTTCTTGGCAGTGCCTTGTAACTTCATTTTACCAGCCATTTACTGGCCTGTATTAAACGCCAAAGATTATCGCAGAAATGTATGGGAACATTTAAAAATATCCTTCTATTTTGACAGAAGGGTGTGCTGGCAATCACACTTCCCAAATTAGAACATCTTGGCAAGCATGTGCGTTTGTCTTGATCAATATCTTTTAAAAGAATTTACACTGATTTTTGTAATCTCACATAGCAGTAATGCTCTGCCCTTTAAATCTGAGTCTCTGTACACTTGCAGTTAAGTGTCTGACATTTACAACTCTTGGGTTAATAAAGCAGAATTTATGGGCACCAGCTGGTATGGAAAGATTGGTTGTGAGCAAAGAAACATTCATCCCCCCTGATTCTTTAGATTATTCAGTTTAAAAGTCTCCGCTTTTGTGATCACATTGCATTTACCAGCATTATGGCATTAAAAACAACAACACACACGGTCTTGTAACTGTGGCCACAGTTATCATATCACATATCAAGATATGGCCAACTCTGTAATATAATAGGCACTGAAGCACTTCCTGCAAATATTTTTGTTTGAAGCCTGCTGTATATACGGGAAAATGGGAACTCCATATCTGAAGCAAAAAGGAAGGAAATTCTTAATTTTAACCTTTGACTATCAGATTCATCAGATCAACTCAGGATTTGAAAACAATTCAAAATAATTATTTCCCCATGTGTGTTGCTATTAACAATCAGTTAATGGTTTGTGTATTATTATTTTTTAAAAAGATAAGTACACTATCTACATTTACCTACTCTGATCCCAGTTGGCTGCAAAAAGCAAAAGTATCTTCCTGCCGTAGTGATCACGGTTGTCCAGCACTCCTGGGAATCCATCAGTCAGAGCTCGTTTGATCCCAGGATCATCAGCCTTAAAATTTTTGAACATATCCAGGTTCAGCTGACGGTACTGGAAGTACTGAGCCAGTAATCTGAAGGCATCTGCTTGGTGAAACTTTCTGGCTCGGAGAAATCTCAGGATGAAGGCATCATCTGTACGTAAAAACCCAATGTCAGGCCTTGTGATGATCATGTCCCTGACCTGCTGGATGTCCTGGTGCAAAACATCTGGGTTTTCATTGAGTTCAAGGCGGGCTTTCTCTATCGTCTCTGGGCTGAGACCAGCATGTAAATGGGTCATCTTTGCAAAAGTCTCTTTTCCAAATCCTTAACTTCAGCAATTTCCTTAGAAGATATTCTGGTCCCATTCAACTAACAGTCTGTGGTGATCCATCCAAGTGCAATTTGTATTATATTTTGTAATATATTGAAGAATACAACAATGAGGAGTTTTCCATACCCATCCAAGGACTCTCACATTCAGTTCATATCCTTAGATATCCATCCGTAGAAATGAATCACTCGTATCACCATCATTCTCTGAAAAATACATATATAACAACCACAGATTATATTTGTTTGTAAACAGACTGTACACATTTCCAAGCATGTGTATTTCCCCCTTTTTCTTTAAATTGCTACTGCAGATCTGATTAAAATTTAAAGACCCAAACAGTTTTAGAATGAGCTACTTAGTACAATGTTATCATTATATATCTTGCATACATAATATAGAAGCCTCATGAACACAGCTTGATGAATTTATAATTGAACCGAGCCTTTAGCAATGCTGAAATTGCACTGATTTAACATTATATTACAATTCCTTATTTAATTAGAATACAAATAACAATGGCACTGAGAGCTCAGTCAATGTCTTCCCAGATAGAGTTATACCAGTTTCCCTTAAGGAAGGCCCCTTCTAGGCCAACCTCAAGAAATGATGCCTCAAATAGTGGCTGTTCCTTACTTATTAGTTGGAGCTCCATTCCAGATGAGCCCACCATTTCCAAGTAGCCTCAGGGCAGCTTCACATATTAAAAAGGAGTTGCCACCAGTCAATGATATGGTAGTAGACTAGTGGTGCTTCTTTGTAGCATATAAAGACATGTGCAGGGTGAACATACATCCACTGCATGAGCTGGGAACCTTTTCTAGGTCAAGGCCCATATTCCCTCAGGGCCAATTTTTCTGAGACACATGCCAGTGGTGGGTGGGGTCAGAGGCAGCAAGAGTCCAGAGTGGGCAGAGCAATAGATGTGAATCTTGCTATTATATATTAAGCTCCTTTTCAGCCATGAGAAAGCCAGAGGTTTTGACACACATCTACACATCTCCCCATTCCCCTGTCCTTCATTCAGGCAAGCAAAAAAGCATAATTGTAGTTCAAGGATACAGTCCAGTGAGCCAAAAGCACTTCAGCAGGGCCTGGGAGAGTCTTGAGGGCCCTACCCCTGATCTACAAATTGCACATGTCATCTGTACAAATGTCACCAGCTGAAGATGCAAGAGCCCTTGCACACCTGGCTTAACTTCTTTGCCCAATTACTGCTCCTAATTTTTTAAACCAACCTACCACTGTTACACTGGTGCCTGCTGTGGCAAACATGCAAAATACAAAAAGCAGACCACCTTTCCTAGTCACACAGTGTGCATGCATGCCCCAACAATGGCTTCTCAGAGCATCAACCTGCAACAGGTCTACAGTTTGTATGTAGATGTGCACCTCTCTTTCATAACATACACATTCATTGCAGAAAGCAAAGATAACTACCATGCCGTTTGAAGCATCAGCCTTATAGGTTATTCCAGTTCCCTGTGCTGGCCTAGATACTAAAATTGATGGAGAGGTTTGGTTTGGTAAAGCCGAGAACTAGTTTTGTGCTGCATCCTTTACTGTATGGATGGAGGAGCATTTTTCAGCCTGATGGCAACCTTCTCTCAGGGACTGGGAGGACCAGAGGAAAAAGTGGGCAGAAGAATGGATCTGACTCTTCCTTTGTACAGAAGGCTACATTCCAGCCACAGAAAAACGTGCTTCTTCTACACATATGCTCCAGCACACATTTCATCCTCTGTCCAGGCAAGCAAGCAGTTCAAGGGCACATGCCAGCCTGGAAAAACACTTGAGAAGGGCATGGGGCAGGACCAGTGAGTGGGGTGAATGGCCTGCAAGAAATCCTTTGGCAGGATAGAGAGGTGTGGAGGACCCCACTTGGCCACCACGTGTGAAGTCTCACTCCCTGGTATAATGCATGGATCAGGAGACTGTCTTGCTCCAATGAGAGTGTTTTTGCCACTTTTATAAAGTAGTGGGAGATGTGTGCTCCAGCACTGGAGACTGGTGCCCCAAAATGAAGACTGCAAAATTGCCAAGACTTCCTGCAATGGGCACATGGTGTGGTAGCTGTGCATTTTGGCTTGCAAGAGGGAACGACCCCCTCTCTGCTCCCCCTGCGTGCTTCCACCCACAAGTCTGTTTAGGGGGTGGGACACATGAGGGGGAGGAGAGGGGAGAAACTCCATTGCACATGTGGAAGTCCTAGTGCAGGACTTCTGCTGATGGGACTCACTAGTTGAATCTGGCCCAGTGGACTATGTACATGGTATATACTATTTCTGACAGGGCCAGCCTTCTTAGGGGTGAATATATAGTGGTGCATTGCTGAATGAGAGCCTTGGTGGGTTTTTCTTTAAGTAAGTCTCAAGGGAAGACTTCAGTAGAATTTATCTGCAGATCATGGTTGTTGAGGTTTACAGTTTCTGTGAAATATCCCACATTACATGTGCATACTGTGGTAACTAGACCACAATGAGTATTAGAAAGAGATTCTATTGTACACACTGGTGCATAATTCATTTTTATAAGCCTTCTTTCATTCTAACATCTGGCTTTAAAGCAATATGCAGGCAGCCAGAATAATCAATATTGCTTTGAACAGCAGGGCTGTTTCCTGGAAGCATTACCAGGTGTTAACTACTATTGCTCCATTGAGATATTCTTACCTAGTGGCTGAAGACTTGCCTGTCATGGTGTTTTCATTTATAAAAATGTTTCCATGCCCAGTAGACCATTTCTCACACAACCTTCCCCAGTTAATCCTTTAATTCTATTTTCAAAAAGCTTGTTCAGTCCACTAAGGGGCACATTGCCAAGGTATGGAAGGATTTCCAGGGATAGCCCTCCAGATGTTGTTGCTTGCTTGCTACCATCAGCCCCAAGCAGGATTGTCAGTGGTCAGGGATTATGGGAGTTGTAGTCTGGCACCATCTGGAGGGCACCACTTTAGGTGGAGCCTTCTAGGTAAAGGATGGTGTAGTTTCAGGGGGCATCTCCAGCTGCCCTGTAAAGTGATGTACATTCATAGACTTGGAACAAACTCCAGAAGTGCTTCAGAAGTTTGCACAAAAAGGAAAGTCTCTCCACTTCCCAGTCATCATAGAGCAGCCTACATAATCCAAATCAAAGTGCCCTAGAAATAATATTCCCAGGACAAGTAACTCCAAGGTTGTAAACCTATTTATAGGTTGCTTCTAGACTGTTGTGGGATGCCATTGGTTGTCCCCAGCACCCACACAATATCACTGTCATCAAAATGTATTTCCCCCCTCAGATTTAATCTAGATTTACCTTTTGCAGGGGAAAGCCAGGTAATTTTTTTTTTTTTATTGCCAATGATTGCAGTATTAAACTGCTGTCTGGAAGCATCCACAGTTATTTCGGATTAATGTCACTGAACTCAATGGAACTTGCTTTTGAGTTTACATCCATAGGTTTGCACTATCAATGACTTAATAAAAAACAAAAATTATATTTTAAAAGTCTTTGATCCAGCATCATGCTTCTAATTTCAATTTATTTTGGAACTATTTATGAAGTGCAGACTGTCTTAGGATACTTGGAATATTGAAACAGTCTGGGCCTCTTTACCAGAGGCAGTGCAGGTTGTAATTGTAAAATTGTAAAAACCCAACCTATGTTTGGTTGGCCAAGAAACATCTTGGTGGCACCATCTTAAAATGTCTTCTGGACCATTGGTACTACTTTCCTCTCTTTGGATTATGATCCCACATGTGCTGCTGCTTCCCTGCTGCCCTTCCCACCTGTTCATTTTCATTTCTTTTCTGGTTTCCTCTGCCAGAGCTAACAACACGATACAATGCTCTTCCTTTTCTCTGTGGTGTGAGCAATGCATTGAATAATTTTAAACTTCTAGTTGTGGTATGAGCAAGACATTGGGTGTTTTTTTAAAAAACCCACTAGTCTGCAATTCTACCTGGAATAATAAGTACAGTGGATTATATTAATTAATTTATTTATTTTTAAAAAATAGCATAGACCATAGGTAGCCGATTTAATTCCTTCCCTTTGTTGTAGACTACAACTCCAATCACCTCTGAGCATTGGTCATGCCAGGCATGGCCATGTACCACATCACTGGGCTTACTGGGAAGCAGAGGGGGAGGGCTAGGTTTCAGGTAGGCTGGTGCAGTGCAGGTGCAGGAGCAAGAACAGAAGAGTGTCTCCACCACTGCATACATGCACACTTACAACATTTTCTTAGCATGCAGCATTTCCATAGTTAAAACCATGCTCAAGACAGCTTACAACATGAACAAAACCGCACAATTAAAAATATAACAAAAGTCACAAATGATAAATAAAATGCATCAAAAAGTACACAGCCAAACTGAGCAATGTCCACCCCATGCCACCCAGCCCACTATCCCTCCCCATCTCCTGCCCAGAAAGCAGAGAAATATGGCTGATGGGAGGCCAGGTGCATAGCACTAGCTGCCCCTAGGGCATGCTGGCTGGGGCTGATGGGAGCTGGAGTCAAACAATACCTGGAGGGATGGATTTCCCTGATATATATGGTGGTGGTGATTCTTAATGGAAGGAGCATAGCCAAAGAGGGAAGGAAAAAGCATTAAATGACTCTGGTCCTTGGCCCAGCTGAAGCCCAGCGCCAAGGGCCTCCTGGCGTTTCCCCCACTGTGAGAAGCAAAGCTACAGGGAACCAGGCAGAGGGCCTTCTTGGTGGTGGCGCCCACCCTGTGGAACGCCCTCCCATCAGATGTCAAGGAAATAAACAACTATCTGACATTTAGAAGACTTCTGAAGGCAGCCCTGTTCAGGGAAGTTTTTAATGTGTGACATTTTAATGTATTTTAAATCTGTGTTGGGAGCCGCCCAGAATGGCTGGGGAAACCCAGCCAGATCAGTAATTTTGGAGCAATAATATACTGTAATTTTCAACAGTGAACAACCATTCACACTACATAAAAGAGCAAGCAACACACAGAGAGAGAATGATCTTTTTACCCAAGTCCGAAACAAAATCTCAGGGCAGCTTCTTAGGAGATAATTTTGTAATGAGCTTCAATATTTGAATCCTAAAGATAAGATTGCTGCATAAGAGGTGAAATGCACACATATGTTTTATTTGGTGCTTGTTTCAAGCTTAAAATTTAAAGCGCATGTGAGAAGGCAAGGTATGTCCTCACCTTTGCTTTAAAGGTTGCCAACCAACCATGTACACGCCCTGTACATGGGGTACAGCATGCATATCCATTTGTTAGTGTATTGTGTCCCCATTTAGAATTTGTCATATGAGAAATGTGATGACCCACAACTAGTGTAAATTCAGGTGACTCCAATTAATATAATGAAATTTCATCACTGAGTAGCGCCAGCCAAGCACTTGCAAATGTGGTTGTTCAACAGGACGTTGCCAGAAAGGAAGTGTGTGGGCACGAAGGAAAACCAGACAGTACTGTAGGATGACTCAGTATTACAGTATATAGTTCCAGCAGTGGGGGCATTATGTTAATAAATTACTTTTAAGCTCTTTTAATTTGAATTGTATGAAGTATGCAGGACAAAAAGCATCTGTAATTACTTTGCAAAGGAATATGTATGTTATTCTCTGTGGTTAAGAGACTACAAATACTACAAACACTAGAGAGAAAAGCCAGAAAATTCTAACACATGCAGAGCACAACACAAATTTTGCACATGTTTCCATACTTAACTAGTGAATTGTTTAGTGGTAAATGTCTGAAACAAGCCATGATGCAAACATTTCTAACATTTACTGGTAAATCTCTAGGCCAACAATCAAACATCATCGTCATGTCCATCCTTAACCTGCACATGTGGTATTTACCAAGGTACAACTCAAAATCTCTCAAATGAATTTTGCGATACAGCCATGTCTAACATTTACCAGTGAATTTCAAGAACTACCAAGCAAATGCTATGACTTCACCCTCAGTTCCTCAGTTGTCTCTTCTTTTCCATAGTAAGCATGTGTCTTGTGAAAAATTAACAATTGCATACACAAAATAAAGACTTTGCAGTGGCTGACATGGCTAATATTTCAGTCTTTATTTACATGGAAGTAATGACTACTGGGGGGACGTGGGTGGCGCTGTGGGTAAAAGCCTCAGCGCCTAGGGCTTGCCGATCGAAAGGTTGGCGGTTCGAATCCCCGCGGCGGGGTGCGCTCCCGTTGCTCGGTCCCAGCGCCTGCCAACCTAGCAGTTCGAAATCACCCCCGGGTGCAAGTAGATAAATAGGGACCGCTTTCTAGCGGGAAGGTAAACGGCGTTTCCGTGTGCGGCTCTGGCTCGCCAGAGCAGCGATGTCACGCTGGCCACGTGACCCGGAAGTGTCTCCAGACAGCGCTGGCCCCCGGCCTCTTGAGTGAGATGGGCGCACAACCCCAGAGTCTGGCAAGACTGGCCCGTATGGGCAGGGGTACCTTTACCTTTACCTTTAATGACTACTGATTTCAGGATAACTTACTTTCATTAAGTGCTTTAAAGAAAAATTTGTATTATGTTTCTTTGTGATGGGGATAGGGGATAAACTACTTATCAACAAAGCAAACAAACCTTTCTGTATTAAAGACATAACTTCAAATTACATTTGGAATTTTCCTGAATATGTATCATTGTGTGAACCACTGATCTGCAGGCCTAATTCTGCACTTTCTAGTTACTGAACACACTTAATTAGAGTACATAGATGAGCACTGCAAATAAGTGAAGGCTGGAGAGCAAAGACTCTTTGAAAAGTGAAAACAATGTTTTGTGATCACACATCCAACCATCATAATGCCTATTTGAGAGTAGCAGAGAGCTTTATCATTCCTTTGAAAGCTCTGGTTCCTATAAATTATCTGTGATTTTTAGAGCAGGGATGAGTCAACAAAACTGGGAGGATTATAAACAAAACGGTCTAAAATGACTAATTTCTTTCTTTTCTTTTTTTAAAAAAAACTTACTAAACTGTGACTTAGGCCTCTGCAAGCAAGTCAGCAAAAGATTTTCAAAATGATAAACAACCTACTACCAGCTGAAAGAAAAAAGTCATACCTTTGCTGTTTGGTGCATGACATCATGCTGTTACATAACGTCATTTTACTTGTTGGCACTGCACTAACTTTTAATGTACCAGACCAGAAAAATCTGTGTTATCATCTGATTAGACCACGAAAGCCCAGGAAATCTCTCTCTGATCTGCCCTTTCCTTCCAAATATAAACCAATCACTGTCTACTTATGAACAAAGAACAGCCATCTGTTCTTTAACTTTAATAATATTTTCTCTCCACACACACCCCAACCGCCCCCATTCCCAGTGATATATCGAGCCACTGCCAGAGGCCATTAGAAAATATTTTCAGCAGCAGAAATTGCTTGTGAAACAACGCCAATATAACACTTAGATGTGTTGGGAATGGGTGTGTATGTTAAAATCCTTCCATTTGCTTCGTAGATAGATGATAGAAGCACTTCCTTACTTTCTGCAGTAAATGCTACAGAGAGGAATGGGTGGAAGTGATTCACTCTCCCTCCTCCCTGTCCCATATTAATAGGGATACTTTCTCGTCGAGAAGGAAATTCTATTGACCCTGTTTGATTTCCCCAGTACATCCTTCAGCTTCTGTTTTAATATGCCTGAAGGAAGCAGACGACGATTTGCTTAGGAGCAGGCGGCATCTCTGCAACTACCCCGGGGAGGCACCGCGCTATTCTACCCTCGCAACTCTCTCAGGCTTTGCTTTCCCTTCTCTAAATGGGTAACCTTCACCTGAACTTCCCCTCCTCAACTTGTGCCTTCTCTGACGTTTGGGGGTGGGAGGGCGGCCGATAAGGATTCTTCATCCCCTCCAGCCCTGTTTTTCAGTTGATCCCTTCCCTTGAGAATTGCGGGATGCTCAGTTTAAGCAGATTTTTTTTTTTTGCTGGGGGGGGGGGGCGTTAAAAAGCAGAAAAGGGTAGCCGAAAGGCAGGGAATAAAGATGGGTGGGGGGAAGGGACGTTAAGCGCAGATGGGTTGCAGGCGAGCGCTGTCCACGCAGGATAGTGCTGAAACGCCGCAGCCATGGTATTGCAACAAAAAAGAAGGGAGAAAACAGAAGCTACTGCAGACACAAGAAAGATCGTCCCAAATACCTTTAGAGAGCCGTAAGGAAAAACGAAGCCCCGCCTTGAGTGAGGTTGTCTGCAGGAACCCTTGCCTCCAAGATGGGTGGGTGAGAAGGTAGCTGACTGTCCGCCTCAGCCTAGGATCTCTCTCCAAAGAACTGTGAATGAGTGAGCTCCGGCTCCACGGGGCGATGCATTTTTGGGTAGCATGCGCGCGTGTGCGCCTTCTCCACGCAGTGGCCTGCCGTCCCCCTGGGTCCTAAAGACCTTCTCCGTTCAACCCAATATTGTAACGAGAGAGCACAATGTGGGAACACTCACATAGACGCAGAGACCCCCTTTTGTGACAGATGCTTCCACGAATGTTCTTCACAAAGCGTTGACTGCAGATTTGACCAAATCAAAAACAGGCTCCCTAAGGGGGGGGGCGGTAAGCCACCTGATGCATCGCCCGGGGCAGAGCTCCTGAAAAACCCACCATTTCCAGGTGTTTGTAGTTAAAGCGGTGGCGGGGGGGGGGGAGTGGAAACGGCAACCGAAAACCCACCTTTGTTTTCCTGTGCTTTCATGGAAGAAACGGCACACACACCTCCTAAACCTTGAATGTAAAAAGAAAGGAGGGAAATAAAGAATGGCAGCCTGCATAGGAGCTGTAAGAGATGATTGCTGCTCCGCACCAGCAGCTTAAGATGTTGTCACTATTAAGCACTGTTGTTGGAACATAAAATCTTCATTGAACATCTTCCCTGTTTTCCAGTCAGCAGGGACTTAGAGCCCTTCTAGTTATAATTTCTGTGCACATATGGGCTGGGGAGCTGCTGCCTGTTAAGTGTTTTCTGATCTGTGCTATGCACAGATGCAAATAGATGGAATCCTGAGGTTTTGAGACATACATGGAGCTTGCAAGCTACAAAGAGCCTTGGGTCTGCTTTTCATTGCTGGGGAGTAGTGCTGTGTCATCATTTTCTCTTCTTTGTGTGTGTGTGTTTTATTATTCTCCACCAGTTTATTGAGAAAATAAATTGCATTTGAAAATTATTAAAGGAGAGAACATTTCAGCTAAATTCTTGTGCCCAGGGTGCAAGGGTTTTGTTGTGTTTGCCTTGCTTTCAAGGTAATCGAGGGGTCTTTGTGGGTGCCCTTTCCTTCATTCTACAAATAAGCCCAACAGTTAGTTGCAGCCTTGCCAGGTGCCTACACTTCAGCTAAAACCCAGGAGAGAAGACCATGAGATACCTTCTGCCATAGAGCTTTTTCAGAACAGGAAGGATGGGCAATCAGGGAAGCTATGGGCTACTGGATGAACATTTACTCAAATAAAACACACACACAATGCTTCCAGCCATTTCACAATACTAAAGTAAGCACAAACCCCACACCAACATACTTTTTAAAAAACCAAAAAACCCAAGGGTCCTGAGAATGAGATTTTTAAAAAAGAAGCTCATTTCATGGGGAAAGATAATGTCTGAAAAACTGGAGGATAGATTTCAGGACAGCACTGTTTGGAAATCTAGACTAGGGCTCACTTGCAATTAGGGATGTGCCCCAGAACCTGTATCCAGTGCTAGATCTCACTCATTAATGTGAATAATAACCACAGAAGAAAGCAGGTTTTCATGAATGTCATGAGTTTCCATTACTATGAGTAACCACGGCATTCCTAAATATCTGGGGTGGAGAATCTATAGTTAGTGTTGTTGGCTCCCACCTTCCGTCATCCCTGATCAATTGGCCATACTGACTGGGGATGTTGAGTCCAACATCTTGAGACCCACAGGTTCCCCATTGCTGCTCTATGACATAATGTGTGAAACTGAGTGAATTTGAGCCTCGGTGACATCAGTTCTTTTAGAAACAGACAATATATGTACATATATATCAAGCATCAGAAGGCCTTTGATTTAACCACAAGCACCTGAGCGAAATGCAGTGGTGCCTTTTTTTACCAATGCATACTACTGAGAGCCAAAATATATTAGGCCTTGCCAAGTAGGAAACCAAGGCAGCATCTGCATTCCTTTCTTTCTTTTCAGTACAAGAATCTGAATAAGAGCTGGGAAACGTATGTTTTCCCAAATGATTCCTTTCCATAGATTATAAAAACTGATATTGACTCTGTTCAGCCATTGTCTTGTAGATTGTACAACACAGGCAAAGCATCTGTACCAGCCCTCAACACTCTGGGTCCAATATTTTACTTTTTTAACAAAATGTATATACTAATTGATTATAATAAAATCTCTAGGCAGTTTGCAATAATATTACAATTATCAATAAAAATATTATTAAACAATTTAAAACATCTACGATGACACTTTGCATGACTGACCAACCAATGGAAGAGTTTATTTGTCCATTTCTGTCCCTAATCTCCAATAATGCAAGGGGTGTTACAATACTTGAAACAATAAACAACAATAACAGCAAGTCTCACATGACACAACTATCCTTTCCTTTTCCACCCTCCCATATACTCCTTCCATTTGATCCATATTATCCTTGTTATATATGAAGATATGAGTGGGCTTCATAAGTATACACCATGTGTATATACTGAAGTACTCCATTTACAGAAATAAATTTTAAAAATTTCCAAATCCTGAACAACCCTTAACTACTCCAAGTAACCCAGGCCTACACAACCATCTTGAACAGACTCATCCTGATCTGAAATATAAATTGATATAATTTAATATATAAATTAAAAGTCAATGCAACGTTTATTTCTTATTACATATCATTTCATTGGGCAGCTTCATAGCCACTGATGTCATGTGAAAGAAAGTAACTTTAACTTACAATTGTAACTATACTACTAATTTTATTGATTTTCTTAATACTGACGTTATATGTCAAATTCTGCTCTCATGTGGCTTTTTCACAGCATGGATGAGGCAGTCCTTAAAATATCCACTTGGCAGACACCACCCTTATTCCATGAGCATACACAGAAGATACAAAGCAGCAACTCAGAAACTTGCAAAAATTTAGTATTACACACTATATGATACACACCACTATATCATACACCCCTTTAGATCAGGGATAGGGCACCTCTAGCTCACAGGTTGAATGCAGCCCCAAGACTTCTCCAAATAGCCCACATCCCTCTATCCAGGCTACACCCTCACCAACTCTTCTCTGTGGTCTTCCTGAGCGCCCTGTGATCAGCCTGGTGAAGCAGGGTATCCAGCATTGTCCTGTGAACCAAAAGATACTCCCAGTCCTTTCTTTTCCTTTACTGAAGTGATGCTAGGACAGTTTTAAAGGAGATCTGCAACAGAGTTAAGTGTGTGCGTGCAGAGGGAAAACTACAGCAATAAATACCAATCTACCATCCTCCTGTATCTTTCAGTGTTTGTTCACAAATGATGAGCACTGAGAATCTGAAACTAATGACTGCATGCTATTAATTAACTAGAGAATTCTTCTTCCCTAATGTACAGTTGTCACTTGGAATAATTTCCTTTCCAATTAACTCCTTTGAAGGGTTAGATTTAAAAGGACACTCACAAGTGTTTAGGAATCAATAACCGATTCTTCTTCAAAGAAGTAAGACTTTCAGCCACCTTTTACAGTTCCAAATCCCTACCTGGTTTTCATTATTGAAAAAAATAGTCTTTCGTATAATGGGGAAAATACATGTTAATGTCAGGATGCACTGATTAAATTTAAAAGCAGGGGACCTTATTCTTCCATTTTTACTCAAAGATGAAGCAGGCTGGACAATGGCAAATGTGCAGTTGGTGAAAGACACACTGCAGAGCCAACGAAACACAAGTGAGAGCACATAATTATGGCAGTGAGGGTGTCAAAGAAGGCCAACTTCTCTGCTTCCATTGTATCACCAAGTAACCATCTAACCACCAACATTTTTTGTTTGTCTGGGGTCTGTTAACATCAACTCCAGGAGATGTAGCTTGGGTCTCTTCAGAAGCCCTGCATGAAATTTTGAATGCACTTTAAAGGAATAGTCACTCACCTCCACAGCTGACATTAGGCCACATCCACATTCACTGCAGCCTTTAGTGAGGTATCCAGCACAATGTCTGCTACAAAATGGTGGCATCAGTTTCTGCCTATGTGGCCTAATGATGTGGACAAGGTATTTGTGATGATGTGGCCAATAATATGTTCCCTTGCTCTTCTTGGTTTATTAAAGTATGCTTTATTATTGTTATCATTAAGGTAAAGGTAAAGGTACCCCTGGCCGTACGGGCCAGTCTTGCCAGACTCTAGGGTTGTGCGCTCATCTCACTCTATAGGCCGGGAGCCAGCGCTGTCCGCAGACACTTCCGGGTCACGTGGCCAGCGTGACGAAGCTACTCTGGTGAGCCAGAGCCGCACACGGAAACGCCGTTTACCTTCCCGCTAGTAAGCGGTCCCTATTTATCTACTTGCACCCAGGGATGCTTTTGAACTGCTAGGTTGGCAGGCGCTGGGACCGAGCAACGGGAGCGCACCCCGCCGCGGGGATTCGAACCGCCGACCATGCAATCGGCAAGTCCTAGGTGCTGAGGTTTTACCCACAGTGCCACCCGTGTCCCTTATTGTTATCATTATTATTGAGTAAATTTGTATAGTGTCCTTCATCCAAAGATCACAAGGCAGTTCGCAACATAAAAATACAACATGACCACACAAAATGCATAATAAAAGGAAGAACAAAAGCAAATCAATACACACATTTAAAAGGACATAGAATGTTAATCAGTCAAAGGCCTGGTTAAAGAAAAATGTTTTCACCTGGTATCTAAAGATATGCCATGAAGGCACCAGGTGAGCCTCCCTCACAAATGGGGAGCCAGTGCAGAAAAGGCCCATTCTCATGTTGCGCCCTCCAGACCTCTTGTGAAGGCAGCACACAAGAAGGGCTTCAGTTGATGATTGCAGGGTCCAGGTCAGTTCATATGGGAAGAGGCCATACTTGAGGTATTGCGGCCATTTACGACTGATAAGAGATGCCTGGCAGATCCAGGGTATGGTCAATGCATCCTTGCAGGTGAGACTGGTCCTGGCCATCTTAAAGGAGGCAGTGATCCAATCACTCATGAAAAAGCCCACCCTTGACCCACTGGTTTGTGACAACTACCACCTGGTTGCAAATACCCTCTTTGGGGGGAAAGGAGATCAAGACTATTTCATCATGAAATTCCTCACAGTAGAAATGAAAGTGTCTCAGAAGAACTGTACCTACCAAAGTGGTATATTTGTATGGTGGTGTGTCTAGCTCAACCCCAAGAGGAACATGATTGCTTTTCAGAGCCAATGCATTTCCCCAACATCCCACCCGCATTTTGAATTTCAATAGTTGCAAGAAAGCTGTACCACGTCTTTCTGAATGCAT